ACCACCAAACCAACCCTACAAAGAGTACTGACAGTGTAATGGTTGATACATTGTGTCAACTTGAAAGTAGAAAACTTAACTAAATCTAGTCAAGAATTCCACCCCCTAGGGTGTGTGAGGCCCTTCCCTAGGGCATGGAGGGCCACCCTACAGTGACTCAGCACAAAAAAGCATGTATAAAGGAGGAAGGATTCTGTGTGCCACTTCCTCCAAAGAGCTCTAGTCTGCAGTCAGTGCAGAAGAAGGGAGAGGCTTGGAAGAAGCCAAGGCTGCATCAACTCCCTTTGCTGTTTTCCACCACTATGAACTGCTGCTCTCTGCCATATGCTACTCTGCCTTGGAGCCAGCCCAGTATGGATTGGTATGGACTGAAACCTCACCTCCACTAACTGAGCTGAATAAACCTTTCCTTTCTTAATTTAAGGTGTCAGGTATTTTGTCCCAGCAATGAGTAAAAAATAACTGAGACAGATATTCTAGAAAAAGATAGAAACAACCACAGCTTCAAGAACAACAGAAAGGAACCACCAAAGAGAACAAGTAATTAAAAAGAAAAAAGTACGGAACCAATACCAGAAAAATAACATGATACATAAAAGAGATATATAGATATAGATATAGATATAAAATGATCAATGTAAGTGGCCTCAATTCACCAATCAAAAAAAACCAGACTAACAGAATGGATTAAGAAACAAAATCCAACAATGTGCTGCATACAAGAAACATTTTTAACTCAAAAGGAAATTCAGACTGAAAGTCAAAGGATAGAAAACAATTCTCCATGCCACAGGAAGCCAGAAAAAACCAGGGGTAGCTATTCTGGTTGCTGACAATATCAACTTCCAACCAAAAATCATTCAAAGTGACAAAGAAAGTCACTATGTACTCGTGAAGAGAAAACTGCAGGAGGAAAAGATAGCAATTATAAATAAATATATATATATCTCCCCTCCAATATAGGAACTCCCACTTACATAAGACAAATTTTAACAAGCATGAAGCATCAAATGAGCAATAATACAATTGTAATGCAGGAATTTAACAAGCCACTGTCACAAAGAGATAGTTCAGTTAGGCAAAAACTCAGCAAAGAAATAGCAGAACTAAACCAAACTTGTAAAGAAAGCACATGAAGTATACTTAAGTAAATCCAAAGGAATTAAAATCATCCCATGCATACCTACTGACCATAGTGCAATGAAACTAGAAGTTATTGACAAACCACAAAAACACCATAAACTGGGATGAGAAGATAACTCAGTGGTCTGATCACTGGCCTGGCAAGCACAAGGACCTGGGTTCAGTCTCTGGTACTGCATGCCATGCTAGCCTCAGAACCCTGGGCATTCGTGCCAGCCACCAAAACTGGGCATGGTGATACATGCCTGCAATCCCAGCACTGGGAAGGCTGAAATAGGAGGATCACTATGACTTCAAGCTGAGTAGCAAACTTCTGTACCAAATAAATATATAAATAAAATTTAAAAAATAAACATGGAAATTAAATAACCTTCTAAACAACCAGAGGATCACAGATGAAATTAAAGAATAAATTAAACAATATTCATAACTGACCAAAAATGCAGATAGAACTCAGCAGAACCTGTGGAATGCAATGAAAGCTCTCTTAAAAGGGAAGTTTATACGGTAAATTTGCACATTCGGAAAACAGAACAAGCCAAATTAAATGGTCTTACGCTGCACCTAAAGCTCCTAAAAAAAGAAGACCAAGTCAAGCCCAAAGACCAAAGAAGGCAAGAAAGTATAAAGGTTAGAGCAGAAATTAATGCAATGAAGACCAAGAAAACAATAGAATTAATGAATCAAAGAGTTGATTCTTTGAAAGAATAAATAAAATTGATAAGCCCCCTAATCAACCTTATTAAAAAAAGAAAAAAACTCAAATTCATACAATAAAAAATGAAAAAGGCAAAATCACTACAGACCCTATAGAAATTCAGAAGATCATCAATACTACTTCTAAAATCTTTATTCTCACAGGATGGAAAACAGAGTAAGTTGACAGTTTCCTAGATACATATGAGATCAACAGGAAGATCAGCACCAGGGATTGAACTTGGGACCTTATGCCACTGAGCTGTGTCCCTGGCCCCCAGTCAACTTATTTTCAGCAAAGATGCTAAGGACATACACTGCCGAAAAAGCACTGTCTCTATTGAATAGTGCTGGCAAATTGTGTGTGTGTGTGTGTGTAGAGACAGAAGGAGGTGAAGGTGGGCAGGGGAATGAAACTAGATCCCTTTCTCTCACTGTACACCAAAATCAACTCAAGAGGTACGGCTAATCTACTGACACCCTGTCCACAGTCTGAAAACTTAGGTGGATGCTGGGCAGCTACAGGCTCCTGGTGAGTTCTGACCACATGAGCCAGAACTGGGGAGGCTGAAAACAGGAGGATCACTGTGACTCTGAGTTGTGTAGTGAGACTCTGTACCAAATACATTAAAAAAAAATTAGTTGTTCATATTACCAGATATATGCATGAAAAATTGGAAGAAGGAAGAAAAATATATAAGAAATTAAGAAAGTTTAAAAAACAAGCATTTACTTCTCCTTCCCATAGACCAGCAGCAATGCACAGTACAGTTGTCCAAACCATTGTGCTTACATACATAGATATATCTCTTCCCCCGTCCCTCTCCTGTCCTTCTCCTCAACTTAGTAATTCTTTCCTTTTGGATAAGTCCATTCCTTTTCCCAGTATATATTTACCCTTCAAATTGTATTTAATTCTTTTGGGTTCTTACACTAAGGAGACAACGCAATGTTTGCACATGTGGAGCTGATTTATGTCACTTATGAGTATGGTCTCTAGTTACATCCATTTACCAATAAAAGCCTCAAATTTATCCCTTTTATAGCTGAATAATATTCCACTATGTAAAAATCCCACAACTTCTTTATTCCTCAGTTGATGGGCGTTTGGGTTCCTTCCAAGATTTAGCTATGACAGATTGCACTGCTATAAACATGTGTGCACATATATCACTGTGGTATAATGTTTTCAGTCCTTTTGGAAAAATACCTAGGAGGGGACTAGTTGGATTAAATGGGACATCCAGTCCTACCTTGTTTTTTGTTTTGGTTTGGGTTTTTTTGGTATGTTGTGATACTGTCATCTTTATTTTCTTCTGAAATTTTGAAATTTCTTTGTACACTTTTTCAATTACTCACTGGTCATTTAGGAACATGTTATTAAATCTCCACGGGCTACTTTCATGGGGCAAGCACAGGTGGGACTTGGGCTGTGGCAGTGGCAGTTGTTGATCCTGAAGTCTCATGACATGGAGGGAGCCATCTTTTTGCCAGTGAGGTGTGCACCAGCCCAGCGCCCTGCAGTTAGGACTGTTGTCTGCTGCTGCAGCTAGGGTTGGGCACTTTCCTACAGTGTGAGCACCCCTTCAGCCTGAGCCCATGGAAGTTGCAATTTGCTTTGTTCTTCTCTTTAGATTGCCTTTTTGTCTCTTCTTGCTGCCTTGCTGATTGCAGAGGTGTTCTCAAACATTTTCTTTGACATACAGATTTTCCTTTGTTGCTGTGCTTCTTCTCTGGCAGACTCACATGCAAGTCACCTCTTTAGAGCTGTCTTAGCTTTGATTTTTTTTTTTTTTCTGGTTTCTCCTTACTCTTATTATCCTCCTTTTTTTCACTTACATTTCTTTTCAGATCATTATTAAGAAACTAATTAGAAGATTTTTAAAAGCTCCTTTGAGCCAAGTATGGTATAGTCAGCTACTCAGGAGGCTGAGACTGGATGGGAAGTTTGAGGCCATTCTTAGGGCGACTCAGGGAGACCCTATTTCAAAATAAAATTAAAGGGCTAGGGGCTAGTGATAGAATGCTTGACTAGTGTATGTGAGGCTATGGTTCAATTCCAAGAAGCACAAAAACCAAAAATTCCTTTGTTTCCTTCTTTGGCCTTGTTTCTTCCATGACTGGGATGGCTTTTCTGCCTGGCTCATCTAATACCTTTGAAGGGGGGCCTGGGAGATGGCTCAGTAGAATAACCACTTCCCTGGCAAGCACAAGGACCTGAGTTCAATCCCTGGTTCTACCAAAAATAATAATAATAAGAATAAGAATAAGAATAAGAATAATACCTTTGAGGTTGTAGCCTTCCTGTAATACTTGGTGCTTTTTTTACTTGGCTCCCCTTTCATATTTGAGGACAACAAACTGGAAAGGACAGGCTGTGTTTGTGACAGACTGTGGGCTCCAGCTATCACAATGGGGGAGCTCTGTAGTTTCACACATTGTATATCCTAGACTCTGCTTCTTGCCAGCCAGTAGTACAGTGAAACATTTTTTCTTCGCTCTTTGTGTCCTCTCAGTTTCTAGGGGCTTTAGCCCCTTATTTGAAATCATAGAATGGGGCTGGGGAGATGGCTCAGTAGAATGAGCGCTTACCAGACAAGCACAAGGGGCTGAGTTCAATCCCTGGTTCTGAAAAAACAAACAAACAAACAAACAAACAAAAAAAAAAACCCACCATAGAATGGCTTTACCACCTTGAATTAAAATCCTGATGGCCTCTCTAAATTTGAGAGATTAATTCACTTTATTTTAAACTAGGTAAGTAAGGGCCAGCCAGATCACTCAGCCAAATAAAGCACCTGCTTAGGCAGAATGCAGGGGCCAGCGTTGGATCCCCGGCATACTGTGCCAACTCCTCCCCCTCACTCCCTAGATGTGCTGAGACAGAGATTGAGACTGTGCGTGGTGGTATGCACCTATGATCCCAGTGCTTTGGAGGCTAAAAATAGGAGGATCACTCCAAAGCAGTGAGACCATGTAGACCTTGTACTAAATTCATAAAAAAAAAAATAATAAGGGACTGGGGAGATAGCTCAGTAGAATAAGTGCCTGCCTGGCAAGCACAGGGTCCTTAGTTCAATCCCTGGCCCCACAAAAAAATTAAATAAATAAAAATAAACTAGGTAAGCAGAACTTACCACATTCTTATTCTAATTTTATAGATTCTCCTGCACTTAAAACCCTACAGGATGACTTTCTGGAGTTTGCTAAAGACAAAAAGTTCCAGGTGCTGAATTTTGTAGAGACACAGCCAACCTCAATTGGCAGCATGATCAAGCTCCATGTGGTGCCAGAGGAATCAGCAGGTAAAATTCTAGAAACTTTCTGGCCATCAGATGCTTCTCATTTAATGATAACATCTTATTTCCAGTTTCTCAGTTTTAGGAGATAACAAAGATCTCAAGTCTAATTTTATTCTTTTTAGCCACAGATTAAAACTTCTCTGCAAACATACAACTTTGTCTTTACCCTTCCCTTCTCTTTATTTAATTGACAACAAAAGTTAATGGCTTACCTGTAAATACGGTAACAGGGGTGACTTATGCTGCTTAAAGGTCATACCAAGCTCTCTGTCTGCTAGATTAAGGGGGCTAACTCAACAAATAGTTGCATGTAGAAACATTTTTTAAAAATCTGTTAATTTAAAAGATTAAAAAAAAAGATTTAGTAAATACAGAATATAAAGGCATGGAAACATGAGGGAACAGAAGATATATTCAAGCAAAACTAGTGTTAAAACTACAGCCTCTTGATGTCCCTGGGTGGGAGAAATGGGTAATTCCTACTGGAATAGGTATTGTAGGTAAGAATTTAGAGGCTCCTTGAGGCTCCCAAACCTTACTTCTGTAAGCCTTCTGTATTACTCTCTGCATTGTAGCTACCCCATACATTTCAGTACCTAAAATGCTTTGTCTCTACATAACCACTTCCTCAGCTTGCTGGAGTGAACCCTTTTCTAAAATTAAAAATTTTATTAGTATATGTTTACAGTACATGTTTACATTTATTATAGGGAGTTGATACACATACATAACACATTTTATTAACTTCCCTTTATCATATGGGGCTTATCACAACCAAGCTAGCATTAAGAATTACCCATTTGGCCCCGTGTTTTCATGCTCTGCTCACGGGAAGCCGCAGAGGTTCCTCCACCTGGAAGCTCATCACCTCCCTGGGCTGTGGAGCTCTTCAGAATGCTCGTCAGGTGCCATAGCCTTGAGAGCTACAGTTTCTGGAGCGATCCTGGGAGCCCTGCCATCTGCCTGAACCGGCAGGATGTGTGCAGCGCACGCAGTCTTCAGCGAGGGAGGCAGGCCCTGTGTGGGGATCTTGAAAGCGAGCCTGTGACCCACCATGAAGTTCCAGTACAAGGAGGACCATCCCTTCGAGTATGAGAAAAAGGAAGGAGGAAAGAGCCAAAAGAAGTACCTGGGGGCCGGGGAGTTAGCTCAGTAGAATAAGTGCTTGCCTGGCAAGCGCAAGGGCCTGAGTTCAATCCCTGGTTCCACCAAAAAAAAAAAAAAGAAGTACCCAGGCAGGGTCCCGGTCATCGTGGAGAAGGCTCCTAAGGCCAGGGTGCCTGATCTGGACAAAAGGAAGTTCCTAGTGCTCTCTGACCTCACTGTTGGCCAGTTCTACTTCTTAATCCTGAAGAGGATCCACCTGAGACCTGAGGACGAGCAAGACTATTTTCTGTATGTGGCCTATGGTGATGAAAGTGTGTATGGGAAGTGAGTGGTGGAAGCCCAGCAGATGGGAGCACCTGGACTTGGGGGTAGGGGACGGATGTGAGTGGGACTTGAGGGAAGAGCGGGTGGGCTCCCACCATAGAGAAGACGGAAGGAGGAGAGCTTGGAAACTTACACTGCACACATTGTCGTCATATTTTCACATGCTCAGTTGATTTTTTTTGGTGCTTCATCAGCCTAGGGAGAAAGCATGTCAGGACCGAGCTGCTGGATTGGCTTCTGTGAAGGACGGAGAGGTCCTAAGTTCAAGGCATTGCCTAGAATTAAGGTTTTGGGACTTCATAGTAGGTCAGAAGGTGGGCAAGTTAAAGCCAGAGATGAATGCAATCCAGCAGCAACTCTCATCTCTTTGGGCAGAGATTTAATTTTTAATATTTTTGCACAAGTAGGAAAGAGAACAGGAATTTCTTAGGAATTGTGATCGTGGGCCATACCTGGGGACCAAAAGACGCCCACAGTAATTAAAGCATTGCAGCCCTTAATCTCTCCAATTTCTCCATGCCATGCCTCACCTGCTAGTCTTCTCAGACATGAATGTCACAGTCCCTCTCCAGAGATGGATGTTCAGAAAGAGCTGTCTTAACTTTGGAGAAGAGCAGTCCTGCAGGACGGGACTGTGATTCCCGTTAGTTTTGATAGCATTAAACTGGAACCGACTGACAAGCTTCTGTCTTAACCTGCTCTCTCTGGTGCCCATTGTCTCAAACCTACTTAGGAGTTTTCTGAACCTTGGGCCCTTAAAGTTGCAGGCTACAACCAGTCTTTTTTCTTGCTGCCTTTAGCAGTTCCTGTGTAGAGGGGCAGAGGTGTCTTTCATGTGGAAGTGCAGGTATGAGGAAAGGTAGATGATCCATGCTTCCCACATGTCCAGAATTCATGTTCCCTCACCATTGTCTCTCAGTCTCACACACAGGAATGCTAAGTGATGGCCAGCTGCTTCCCTCCTCTGGTTTTCATCCACTGTAGCTGCTAATTAGGAACGTTTGGAGGGATGTCTTTTAGTAATTCATTGGGGTTTAATCCGTTTCTTTTCATTTAAGGGTTGAGGGTGGGGGTGGGGAGCAGGAATTGTATTCTGATGTGACATTTCATCTCTGCTAATGAAAAAGATCCTTTCTGTTGGGAAATCTGTGTGTCCTGTCAGCTTCAGGTTCTTGTAAATGAAGTCAGCCATGTCAGGCCAAGGAAATAAAGTAATTGCTTACTGTTAAAAAAAAAAAAAGACCCATTTGACTTATTTCAATTTTGACAAAGGGGCAGTCTTTACTTTTAGATATATTGACATGTATTTTCATTTTTGTTTTCTTTAGATTTAGGCATTGGAGATCTAATTCCTGTGGATGTTAATCATTTGAACATTTGCAAACCAAAGAAAAAGGATGCTTTCTTGTACCAACGTACTCTGCAGTTCATCCGTGAAAGTTTAGCCAAAGACCTTGAAAACTAACTGCTGTAGTCTTCCATTTTTCATATGAATACATGCAAGAAAGCTGATGTTCTCATAGCGTTGAAGCCCCAAGTAGGCATGCAGCAGTGTGGCCAGGAGTGGTGCGGCCAACAGAATATTATGGCACTCCAGTTCTACCCTGGAAAGCATGCGCAGTGGCAGTGACAGAAGGAATGGCTGGGGTGGGACTCTGGCTTCCAGAAACCCCACAGTGCTGGGCCCTGAGACTGCAGCAAAGCTGCTGGGCTAGAGAGGCCCTTTTCTCACCAGGGAGCCTGGTTGAGCAACTCAGCCCACCGAAGCGTGCCATAGAGAGTGCCTGAGGGGAGAGACTGGGTATCCATGTGCTGTAAAACTTTAAAACATCAGTTTAAATTTTTATTTTTTAACTTTAACTCATGCTTGCTTCGGCAGCACATATACTAAAATTTAACTTTAACTCTTTGCCTAACACGTTATCACTGGTGTTAAGTTTGTCAGACCTGTTGTCATGTATGGGTGAGTTCCTTTCCTGTATTTATTTTCATATTTTTGAGAACAAATTTTGTTTTAAATTCTAGCTTGTAGTAATTCTTCACAGACCATAGCTACCTGTGCTTATCATGTGTTCCAGATAAGGGTAAAATAGCTTAATTCATTACTGACCAGAATATGAAATAAAACTGTTGTAAGCATGTATATGTATCATATCAACAGTTTCAGATTTTTAGCTAAATATACTTTTTTGCTCATTTGGAAGTAGTATTAAAAATTATTTGATGGACTTTTTCAAAATGAGCATGAGATACAATATGTATAGGTTTAAATGCACCCTTTAAAAATAAATAATTCATTGGGTTTTTAGTATAATTAGAGTTGTACAACCATCATTATCATCTTTATTTTATTGAGAAATATCAATGAGACAGTTTTGAAAACTGATTAATAGGACAGTTTCAATAATTAATATGTTGTACATTGTTATCTTCTTAGTGGTTATCCATAGTACAAGACGCAGAAAGAATATCCTGTCCAAACACTATTAATACAAATCTTTCTTCTCATTGAATTATAAAAGTAGCTGTATATCCTGTTTTGCATATACAGATACAAAATGGTCCTTCCTTTGTATTCCCTTTTTTTGTTTAGTCCTGTCAGAGATGGGTATTCCATTGGCATCTAAATACTATAGGTGCGTGAATTCAGCAAAACAGTCCAACACAGTCCAGCAGTCCACAATAGTAGTGGGTTAGCCACAGAAGTTGTTGACTTGAGCCTTTCACAATTCAGCATATTAATATGGCTTTACTTTTTATACCTCATTTTTATACTTTTCTGCTGGATGGTTAAGACCAACGTAAAGCAAGACCTATATAACAAGAAATGTAACTTTTGTATCTGACCAGGTCAGTCAGATACCCTCAGGATTTATCCTGTAAACCTGTACCGCAGTTTTCAGATCCTTTCTCAGTGTCAGCCATGTGGATGAGTCATGGCCATTGCTTGACCAATTTGCTGTCTGTGAAAGTCTGAGAGAATGTTTTCTCTCCATGTGACTCTCTTTAGGCACAGTCTGCATCATCGATCACATTGCTCTGTGGCCCCATCATCTCCTTGATCAGAAAATTTGGGATCATTATCATCTAGTACTGAAGTATTTCATTATCCTGAAAAGAATCTCACTAGCAGTCATTTCCCACTCCTCTGTCCCCAGCCCCTGTACCACAAGTCTAATTCAGTATCTCTTTATTGGCCTCCCAGGATACTTCATGCAAGTGGAATCACATAGCAGTTGGCTTGTTACTCTCACATGATGTTTTCAGTATTCGTTTATATAATGTAGCATGCTCATTGCTTATGACCCAAATTATCCCATTTTATGCTGTGCTATGTTTATCTGTTCACCAGTTGATGGGCATCTAGGTTCTGTCCTTTGTTTGGCTGTTAACTCATGAGCCTGCCATCATTATTTGTGTACAAATTAATTTCGGGAAGTAGATGTTTTTACTTATTTTGGCTGAGCAGAATTCCTGGCCAAATGCTGCGTCTGTATTGTAACACTGTGAAGGTGATGGAGTGGATAGAGTGGCAGTGTCAGAGCTGAAAATGGAGCCCAGTATGTGAAGGCAAGCAAGGTCACCAGCAAACCCTATTGCATGGACTTGTAATTATGAAAGGATATAGCCACGTAATGAATGACTTAGCCACTTGTCTTGCAGCAAACATGAATGTGGCTAACTGTGCCAGCTAATGGAATGGCATGGGGAGAACATATTTGATAGGTTTCGTTCTTTCTTGCTTGCTTGCTTTCTCCTTGGTACTAGGAATTGAACCCAGGACCTCACACTTGGCATACAGGCACTGCACCACTGAGCTAAATCCCTGGCCCCTTTGGTACTTTCTTTTGGTTCTATTTTCCATGAACTATGGCAGATAAACCTTAGTAGGAACTGATGTTCATTAACATAATGAAACCCCTTAAATTCCTAATGAATAACTGTCATAGCTATGCTCTTAGATTTTCAATATTGCAAAATTATTCTATTTTTGTGAGCAAGCCTTTAGCATTTTTTATTCTGTTTATAAAATGAGTCCACTTTCCATAATGGGCAAATAAGGATTTGGGCAATGTTTATCATACTAAATGAAAAGCAAGGTAATACAGCAAAATGAGCAAGTGTATAGTAATGCCAAAGATTTGGCCCAAGAAGAACATAATCTTGGACAACAACGATAAACAGGGAGAAGGTAGAGACATAGAAACAAAATTAAACCATTCAGCACAGTTACAGAATAAAGTGGAAACAGCACATGAAAATACATAAGTTGCATAGCATTGTGGATGCAGAACTGTAGTAGAGGGAAAAGAAAAATTCTTGGTTAGAAGGTAATAGCCAGGCATGGGCATGGTGGCACACTCCTGTAATCCTAGCATTTAAAAGGCTGAGGCAGGAGTATCATTGTGAATTCAAGGCTAGCCTAAGCTACATAGTGAGCTCAAGGCTAAGCTACCTACATACTGAGATCCTGCCTCAAAAAAAATTAATAAAAACTATTCAACTATAAACTCAGTGGACAGATACTGTCAGTAAAAACTAAAGGAATAGGGACCCCTGTCCCTATTCTTTTAGTTTCTGGCAGTTCTGCCTCAGCTTCCCAAGTTCTGGGATTATAGAATGCCAGACAATTCTTACTGAATTAACCAAGGTCTATAGCAGGAAAGAAAAGGCTGTATTTTGAAATGCAAACAGAGACTCCTAAAACAATGCCAAAAACCTCAGGTTACAAACAGCAATGTTGGGGCCGGGAGATTGCTCAGTAGAATAAGCACTTGCTTGGCAAGGGCAAGTGCCTGAGTTCAATCCCTGGTTTCGCAAGAAAAAAAAAAGCAATATTGAAGCAGGTATGGTGGTGCCTGCCTGTAATCCCAACACTCAGGAGGCTGAGGCAGGAGGGTCACCTCCATAGTGGGTTCAAGGCCAGCCTGAACTGCAGTGAGCCCTGTTCCCCCCAAAAAACCAAAACAACAGAAACTGTAATGTTGAAAAGAATTACGTGCTCAGCTAAATTGTTCTTGAAATTAGTACAAAGGTAACAGTGGACATAAGCCCACAAGAATTTGGAAAATACTGTGAATCATAGTGTTATCCCCATACCTTAGTTTAAAATAATATATAATTACATATGCAGTTCATGAACTTAATTCTGTGATTTTCGAAAAGGTGCCCATGGTCGTTTGTGTTTGTCACCCAGTGCCAAGTTTACAAACAAAAATGTTGCCAAATGCTTCTGTTTGTAAAAAGCATTGTGAACCAAGGTACCATTGTATTTTAATCATCTAGTATTTTACTGTACATATATAGTAAATTTCTAGAATAATGTACATTTCTGTGTAGATATTGGGTGGATTTTTTCTTGAACTTACATGTAGTACTGAATTTTTGAGTGCTTGCTATTTTTTGGTACACTTTTTTTTTTTTAGTTTTTTTTTTTTAATTTTTATTTATTTGTGTGTGTGTGTGTGTGTGTGTGTATGTGTGGCCAGCTCAGCCCACCAGGGGGCGGGGCTGGCTGGCATGTGGTGCTGGGGGATTGAACCGCGGTCCCTGTGCTTTGCTAAGCTTGTTCTAAGTAGGTGCTTTAGACCACTGAGCCATCTCACCAGCCCCTTGGTACACTATTTTAAAAGGCAGCAGAGAAGAACAAGTTGTAATTGTAGCCACTTTTCACCAGTCAGACATTGCTATATAACATAGTATATATCTCAGGAAAACAAAGTGAAGTTGGAAAAGTCATTGTAAAAGCTGACAGAGGGCTTTTCTTTCAGTGATAGGAAGCTAGGTTGTTTGAATCTAACTTCCCAGTGAAGACAATTAAATAATCTGGATAAAGAGTTTTTATTGAGGAAAGAATTAAAAAAAAAAAAAAGACTGATACGTCTAGGGAAAGGTAAAAAAAAAAAAAAAAATTCAGAACAAAAAATAAGAACTTTAGTTGTTCCCTCATTACTGGGACTCAGTACTTGACAGCCCACAACTTGAGGGAGGAGAGAAGTTTATTTTGGCTGATGTTTCAGTTCATAGTTGGCTGGCTCCAGGGCAGGAAGCCTTGGCCAGGGGTGTGTGGTGGACCAGAAGCGGGGAGGGACATGCATCCCTCCAGGCCACTCCTCCGGACCTGCCTCTTCTGACAGATGCCCTCCTAACAGCAAGTCAACTCTAACACCCCCAGTCCAGTCACTTTCCACAAGTGCCACCTGTGAGCACATGCGGGGCTTGGACATCTGGACATAAACCCTAACCTGGAACTAGCAGTCAAAACTGCTCTCAAGGCAGGAACATCACTAGACGTGGACACTGAAAGTGACTGTCACCACTCAACAGTGAGATTGGGGCCATCCACTCCTGCACCCTGCATACTGACCTAATGGGGCCTGTTCTAGCCACAGACTGACGGGCCCACAACCCATGAATGAGCACGTGAGTGCCAGAGGACACCTTCAGGCCAGTAGTAAGTCTCATTATGTGGAGGCTGCATGCTCTTTGTAAGCATTCTTGGGACCTACAGGTAAGTCTCAGTATCCAGTAGTGGGAGTTGGCAGCCAGCCTCTGCATGCCTGCATAGCAGCTCTTCCTTAGATTGCTCTTCCATTCATGCCTGGTGATTACTATTCCCCATACCCTCCTGGGATGGATTCTACTTCTCAAGCCTTGGACAGCAGTCATCCTCAAAACCCCCCTTCCTGCCTCCTCCAATGCCTTGGCCTGTCAACCTGGTAGCCCTCCTTCAAGGCCCTCGGGCCAGTGCAGTCTCCATGACCTGGACCATGCTGTCAGGCACAACCTGAGCCAGATTTCACCTATGAAAAGTGAAGTGCTCTGCTATGTTACTTTAGCCTGCTGCCCCTCTCTTAGGACCGTCACTCAGACCCATCTCTTCCCACGGGTGCCATGCCGCATTCTCCACGGCACACTTAGTCTGGACTGCTGTACAGTACCTGGGGCTCCCCCTTACCCTGCTGCCATCAGGCCATGACTGACCGCATGCTCCATCCAGTCAGTTCCCCTCCTCACAAAAACTCTTCAGCCTAGCTGGCTTTCTCTGCCTCTAGATCCCCAATTTTGGCCTCATAGGCAGAGCTCTTCATAATGCACACCCAAAACCAACACCCTCATGCCCTCCTGTCCTCCTCAGCTTGGGATATCTTTCATAGTTGCTTTCAAACCACTTGCCATGATCCAAACCACTTTCCCAATATGAAATAAAAACCCCATCCCATAGACGGGTAATAATAGCTGGTTCATAGATAAACTCTTTCCAAGTTCCTAACGGGTGCAAGGTGTTATACACTATCATCTCTAATTCCCAGTCACTCCCCAGCAAAACATCTCCCAACAGGCAAAACAGCCCTAACCCAAACACTTTTTCTGGATTCTTTGTGGCTTT